TTTTTTTTTTTTTTTTTTTTTTTTTTTTTTTTTGTTTATCACGTTTCTTTCAGTGCTATTGTCTATACATATGTATAAAAAGTTCGATATTAAAGTAGGTGCGTTGATCAATAATAATATACAGCCGAACAATGTACAATTCCTCATGCACTTCCTCGTTTCTGACTTATAAATGTCGATTATACCGCGACCGACGAATAAATAAAATATACATACATTGAATCGAGGTTGCGTTAATTACTTACAAGCGAAGATCAGGCTGAGTAAAACGCGATAAAGTAATTTTTATTCGCTTCTTTGGAAAAGGCAGATTTCTAAGCATAATCGATAATCGCAATGATCGGTATTTCTCAAATATCATTGGAATATTTTCTAAGCGTTCGATCGAATTGGTTAATGGTATTTTGGAAATTAATTTAATTTTTTTGAATCGTATTTGAAACAGGAAGAGGCAAAAATGTAACTTATCACGTTTTTCACCTGTGACTCTCGAATACATTCGTTCGAAGGATCTGCAGTTATTGGCAGACGAAAATCAGCGTATCGTGACTATAATAAGAATCGTCGTCTTTTAGTTTCTTTGCAACAATAACAATTTATGACGATGTGTAAAAATCGTAAAAATTTGCATCAGTGCTGACACGTGTTTGCACGGCGCCAGGTGACCAACAACGCTATGGTATTATCTAAAAGTTTAATTTTAGCTCGTTATCTGATTAGAGACTGTACAAAAAAGGTGATTTAAAAAAATATAATTATTGTCCCTTCGTTTCGTATGTCGATTTGAAACGCTGGCCACCATATCACAACTATGATACAATTCTATCCACGTATGCAACTATAATACACGGAATCGCAATCGGTACGCTTGAAGAAAATTCGATCGAGCTTACAACCCGTGATCGATACCGTCGAATCAAACATCACCGTGACAGTTTCAATTTTATCGTTCAATTCTATTTGAAATGATCAACAATTTTCGTCGGATGAAGTAAAAAAAAAAAAAATAAATAAAATTAAAATAAAATTGGAGCCGTCGTTGCCATATAAGATTCCACGATGTCGCTCGAGGGTTGAAGAGTTTCGTAACATTTCGTCGACAAAAAGTCACTTGCACATCTTCGTCGCATGATAAAATCCACGCCATTGTCTTTTTATATCACACGATCGTTGAGTATGATTAGGATATTTTACATTTTACAATGGTCATCTAGCCAACGGTTTTCTTTGTACGTCGTGGTAACATTCTTCCTTTCATTTTAATTCCTTTCTTTCTCCTTCATTCGTACGAGTTATGTATACATTACGTGTAATCGCGATAACAGTCAGTTCTCGTTCTTTTTACAGAAAATTCGTACATCTAATCAAATAGTCTATACATCATTTACCATATACATATATATATATAAATCTAAGTTTACATTGGGTTCAGGACACAAACAACTAACACTGCTAATTCGTAATATAGGCCATGATATACTATAGATAATACGATTGGTCACAAAAGTACCTGACAATCCTCCGTACAATAAATCTTAATGTATATGTCAAATTTTATCTGCAAACTATTAGATTATTACCTTATACCAGATTAATAAATATTTCTTAGAATAATTAGTTTTATTTTAGATTCGAATTATTAGACTATCATCGCAGACCAGAATAGTAGATATTTCTTAGAAATATTCAATTTTTTAATCCTTTTTACCTTTTTTTTTATAATACATATATACTTAATTGCTATCGATATTATAATTTTGCTACATAATTATATTACTAATTTTATTATCATTTTCATCATCGATCGATTACTCAAAATCGAATATGTAACGAGATCGGATACTTTTGTGGCTAATAGTATACAACGTGTGTAAAATTCGATCGCAGTTACCAATTCTGTCAATCTTTACTTCCAAAAGAGCAAAGAAAAAAATTTTGTTTAATTATTCGGGTTAAAAGTGTATGCCAGAAATCGTACTCCGTTTGATATCAAGGATCTAACTTCGAATACTTTAAACGGTAAATGGTAACACGAAGAATGGTAACCGCAATCCCTTCAAGAACTCGAGATTTGTTACCCTGTTCGTAGAAGTAGAGGATTCTAATAGACGCACTATCGATTTACGGACAGATCACAGATGACGAAGTTATTTTTTTGTGAACCAAGACAATGCAACGCGAATATACAATAAAAAAAGGATTCGGAGATTAACGAATGTAAGACGCAAGATTCACATAATTTAAGATGTGCTAGGTTAATAAATAATACGGTGATCTAAAGAATTTCAAAGGCAAAAGAATCTCGACATTGTTCAAACGAATAATCATTGCCTATATGCTCGCGTAGATGTCATGATCCGTTAATACCGCGCGTGTATGCGTACAAGTAAAAAGTAACAACGATTTATACAAACTAGCCTAGTTACTTGCTAAACGCGAGAATGATCGAGGAGATGCTCTCGTATGTCCCGGTAGCGAAGCCCAGAAGACCGATAAGCACTATTATTATGTCTTTCGATATCGTGCAGAAACCTAGAGATGCGTTCTGCCAGCACACAACCATCTCCATAATCGGCGGGAATATCAGTGCTAAAGCAGTGCTGCTAACTGCACCGACTAGTGATATGAACAGGCCCAATTGAGGTATAGCCTCTGCTAGGATAACTGCAATGAGATAAAACAGAAGTAAATTTTTTAGTATATATTTTTTATTTCATACGTCTTTTTATTTATATTATATATTTTTACTTTCTTTTCTTAGTAATAACATTATTTCTAATATTTTTGTAATATTTTTCCAATATTTTTAATTCTGCCAAGATAAATGCTTTGCAACAAACCAGAGTTCTCTTTCCTATGAATTTGAAATTTTATAATTTTAAATTTGGATTAACAAGAAAATTAGTTTTATCAAGAAATCTGTCATTATCTAAAATAAGTTGTTTGTCTAGAAATTTTGTCTATTCACGAAGATGGTAATCAAGAGAAAGGTGATTCAGATATTTGAAAGCGAAGCTAAAAGTATTTTAAAATCTTGAAAGAATTAAAAATTTGGCCACTTTCGTGATAAGATAATACACGAACTTACATGTTAACAAACACATGGAGGAACGGAAAATGGTCTCTGCTAGAACAGGCCACGTGAAAGGACCAAAGCGGTTGACGATCCTCGGCCAAATGATCGCAATGGGAACATAAAATTGCAATGCATACGTGAGCAATATACTCAACGAGATGGCAACTTTTATGCACTGAGATAAACTGCAAAATAAAATGACACCTTGTTAATATCCGAAGAATTTCGCTTTCATTCGCTATCGTTAAAAGCAATTAACTTGTTCGCTCTGTAAAATCGTCAAAACCACTCGATTATGTCTATTATTAAGTTAAGCTTATTCAAATAATTAGTTAAGTCTATTATTGCAGCATGCAAATTTGGGCAAACAGGACGAAGGTAGGACTCTAATGATAATTATTATCATATTACTTATCGATAAAATAACACGACGACACAATTATTATGCAAACGATTGAGTAAATTTTAAAAAGAACACAACACTTCTAGGAAACCTATATGTATGATAGAAACCTTGAATGCTCGATGATGTTCTTTCCATCCACCCTTCGTATGCAACAGAAAATTACGTTACAAACAGTATTTTCTTAACTATGTTTTTTTTATTTTCGTCTTGCTATTTTTCGCTATCATTTTGCGTCATAGAATTTCGATTATTCTTAACGCAGCGCGATCTATCACCTGGACGCATAACAATCTACTATAGAGTCGAAACAGTATATTTTTCCTTATAGATTCTTTGTTATGTAAAATAGAAACTTACTAATCACTTGCTGAATCATTTAGAGACTATTATATTTACTCATCGCGAAAATCATTGACCGCAATTTCACCGAAAAAATAAATTTAGATAGCATGGTAAATTTGAATTCAGCGAGTGATTAGCGTAAGGTATATTGAGATAAAAGAGACTATATCGACCGAAGGATGATTATAACTATAAGATATACCGATTTATAAAAGTTAGTTCTATTACTTACACATTCTTCGATTCGAGATTTAATGTTACAGATCCAGCCACATCGGGGCCATATTTTAAATAAGATATAAAACCCATCGCGACGAACATCCCACTGACAATCACCATTCCGACATTTAGGACTCCCAGTGGCTTACTGAAATTACTCGGTTTCTTCATTTCGTTCTTTAGAGGTAAAACCTGAAAGATAAGGAAGAAAATTTTCTTAAGGAAGGCTGATTTTCCAAAACTCGCATCGCGAAATTTAATGTCAGCTTTAGAAACTTGCTAAAATTAATTTCAGCAGAAGTCGCCACTTCCCTGACCAAGTTTCCAAAATAAATGCTACTCGTTCTCGGTAATACAACTTTTTGGACGATAATTAGTAGACGTTGATCACGCCGGGATCAGCATGGCGCTCTCAAAGTCTGTTTCTTATTAGAAGGAGGCAACGGAGCCGACGAAGTGACTGGTCGCCAAATTTATAACGCGTTACATAAATGCAGACAAGCACGTGTAGACGCTGGACGACTTACCAAAGTAATACCCTCGAAAGAATATATCACAGTGCCAAAGAACAGAGGCAGCTCGTGCCAATCGGCGATGTACCGCCTCTCGTTGATCGGCGGAAGATCGTGGCACATTATGTACATGGTGGCGACGTAGCCGGCTATGACCAGACAATTTGCCATGGACGAGACAGGCACCAGGTACTTCAGGTTCCTGATCCATGTGCTCAGCATTATGGGGATCAGGATCACAGCCATATGTTCATGATAGCTCATGTCGATCCCGTACACGTCCAACACCTATCAAATTAGATCCCATTAGCAAAGATCGAGTCGCATAACGATGAATTAAAATCATAGTATATAATATTAAAATATCACGTAAATATTAATATTGAAATTATAATATACGTATTAAAATCTGGCATAAATACGATTCAACGATTAAGGAAATAAAATAAAGGAAATGTAAGAAAAAAGATTTTGATCAACTTTATGAAAAGAGAAATTTCAACAAAGTCTCACCTGCTTCATATTCTTCGCAATGAAAACGAAATAAACGCAGCAAAATCCGAGTTGCGTGATACATAAAAATACATTAACCAATTGTCTGGAACAAAGCGATGGATGATTGTATAAATCGTGAGGAACAATGGAAAATAGAACTATGATGGAACGTGTGTTTGAAAATTACGGATTCTCGTTCCTTTTATTCCTTTTCCGCGTGTTTCAAGTAAACGAGACGAGGTAAGAATTCGGTACGGAGCTAGTGCGAATGGTGTACCTACTTCGTTTTGCTCTTATTACATAGGTATACGTACCTCATAAACACGGAGTATTTTCGGAGTGCGAGAGGCCCGGTGGCGAAGCACAATTCCACGGTACCAGCGAATCCAGTCGTGGCACCCGCATCATTAACGCGACGCGTCACCTCCTCGTTACACTTAATCTGTGAGCACACCATTACCAATTTACATTATCGAACAGGAATTTTCACCGTTCTCCATCCCACGTTTACCAATGAAACCGTATTTTTCGGAAAGTCTGAGTCATAAAATTGAAGTACGATAAATAGAGTACACCTTGAGTATAATTAGAATATAACGTCATGAGACGTAACAATAAATTCTTGACAGAAAAGTTGAATAGCTGCTAAATTATTCACATTCTAAAAGAGTACGATGATTATTCTTTCAGAATGATACTGAAATTCCAACAGACTGCAACATCGCTTCTTTTGGCAATCGTTTAAAGACATACATGCAGTATACCGTCCGACCGAGAGGAGTTAAAAGATTTTCTTATTATACTAGAGTATAAAAATTTACAATTTCTCATCAGCTTTAATCGCAAATATTTTTTTCAACGAGATAGTATATACGCTACGAATCGAATCTGCTATGTGTCAGGAATATGTATATATTCTAGTTATATCGAGTACGTATGTGCACAACAGTTGCTTTAACAATGTAATTAACGCTAAACTACTAAATGAGTCAAAATGACTTATTTCGGACTTGTAGTTTTTACATTTACTGGAAACATGTGACTGTTGTCTCATAGTCACATACACATATGCCAGTACACATTATATGGTTCTAGTGTTAAACGTCTATTGCGAGCAGTACATATAATGTAAAGCTTATTATATAACGTGAATCGGTTGAATCGTTATACTCGATTATCGGACAAGAAATACACGAAATAATAGGTTATACGTACAAGAATGTGCTGAGCATGAACACAAATAATGCCAAGGAAGATGGTAAGCGGTGGAGCCAGCAGCAGTCCGGCATGCTTGAAAGCATCCCCTAACGCAAAGATACCCGAGCCGACGTTACCTTTGAACAGGTGCATCATTGTTTCTAAATACCTGTAATTATTCATTCGATATAAATAACATTCTGTATTAAAGTCACACGGAGTCTCAACTCGAATCGAAAATATTCCAATTACCTGAACGTTAATCAGATAACTTATTAATCTTATCAATGCCATTCGTTACTTTTACTCTCTATACGTTCCTCGAAATTCCTTTCTCCGAATTATGACTTTTTAAGAAATCATTGCATTAAATCTCTCGATCGCCCCTCAATTCTTAAAAATTCTTTATTATCAAGATTCCATCCTTTCTCCAAATTACGATTTCTTTAAAAGTCGATCTTCTCTACATCTTTTACAATTCGGACCTCGAAAATACCTCGTAGAAATATTCTTAGAAAAAATTCTCGAAAAATGTTTGCAACTGAATACGCAGAAGGTATTAATATTATAAAATGTCGTATCACGCGAAAATAATTTACATTATCCGAATTATGCTGAAAAATATAAATAAATCGGCGTTTACTCGACGAAATTGACTAAGCGAACAGGGCAAAGATTATAATCCTGAGAATTTCAAAGAAAGCTTCCATGGTGATCAACAAACGAACGAAATTAAAGTAAGCGAAGCAAAATTTCGCTAGGGTAAAGTGAATTTTGTAGGAGGACAATTTATTCGATATCGCGCGTCGGTGTGGAACGAAAGTTAATGGAAATTCGATCAGCGTTGGACACGTTGTTAAGCAGCCTAAACAAAGGTTGGTACAGTTGACAAGAAATTTCCCCAAGCATTCCCATGTCCCGTCGCGCGAGCTAATTTAAAATCGCCGGCGAATGAACTGGCCGACCGAGTTTGAAAACGTTTCGTCCCATGCTTGTCCCGTGGTTTAAGTCTTTGCATAAACACACGTGAGGCTAATCCATGAATGTGTCGTTAATTATTCACCAAACACGATGATCATCAGAGTAACGGATGATAAATGCGAATAGAGAACCGCGGACAAAAATAAATTAACATAGCGTTACTTTTGTCGCTTCTGACTAGAACATCTATAAATATATTGTTATATGCACTCTGTTATCATTTTTTTAACTCTTTGTTTGACTCTTGATGATCTTATTCACGCTGTATTGAAAGCAAGAGGGAGAATATGAATCAATGGTCAAGTTCGATTCGTCGAGAAGTCATTTGCAAGAGTTATTGACCTATTAACTGCTAACTGCTTCTAAGAAATTCTTGCATAATCCTATAGTTCCAATTGCTTTGCGATGAATGTAATGAAAATATACTTTCAGGGAATTAAATATAGTAGGTGAAAAAAGTATTGGCACACTGTATCACAAGGAAATTCATTTAACCAGAAACTTTTGATTTTATTGAAGGTTTGTGTAAGTACGTATAGAGCACAATAACTTCAGCACAGAGTAATCTTTTTATGGGTGGAAAATCTTTTCAAGTTTCAGAGCCTTGATATTTCTTCATACTCTGATTATAATCTTATTCCGCAATGTTTTTCACAATAGAGCGATAGAGCATTAAAAATTAAACGTTCTTTGTGTAAAAGGCTTTGTTGTGTCTTGTACTATTAGAAAGTTAAATTTAGGAAAGCTAGTAGAAAAGAGCAGTGAAAATTCAATCGTTGAAAGAAACGATTGCTGCATGTATAGTCTGTTATGATATACATATACATATACACTCATAGATTTTCATCCAAAGTGAAAAATTACGATTAGATGAATTTTCTTGCAATATAGTGTGCCAATATTTTTTTACCCACTGTATATGTATCTTTCTTGATTATTCGTTTTACTAAAATCAATCAAAATGATTGCTTTTAAGTGCTTTGCATCTACAACGAGTGTCAACATTCATCTGCTTTTGGTAAAACTAATACTAACTTTTATTGGATCGAAAAGGTAATTATATATACTTATTTATTTTCATTACACAATTTTAATTATCATTATCTATGCATACTACATTTACGTCTCTTTTTACGGGTAGATAGCTACAGCGTGAGAAGGAAATCTTCATTCGAGGATTACTATTATTATGTGTCTACTACAAATTTCTTCTGAAGATCTTCCAAGTGGTGGCCATTCGAGTTGACGAAAAGGTGATTGATCGAATATATCTATTTATAAAAGACTAGACCAAAGTATTTATAACGTTCCTTCGAAAATGAAGGTACAATGCGAAGAAGATAGGCCTCGATCGCACAGGAGTTTCGAGGCGATTGCGAAGGGCCTTTGATGAAACGCATAATCGTGCAATCGATTAAAATACTATTAATACGTCACGACAAACGGCGATTCCCCAAATGAAAAGTTAAATGTGGAAATTACGCGAACCAATGAGAACTTATGCCAACATATTTATTTCGAGATTCGGCAGCGGCTTTCGCGGTTTGTAGGAAAAGTCTAGGCCTGATGTTGCTCGTTAATCACGTTCGTTGACGATATATCCACACGTTTGATGAAGCCAAAGTACACCTTACCAAGCTTTAATCATCGTCGATAAAACAATAAAAATAGACGAGGCTGTGAGACTGTAATCATTCGAATATTGCTTTATTTTCTCGCGTTCGTGTTCCCTACAAAATATCCAAACACGGTACGTATTTGCAACTAATTACCTCGCGTATTTATTTTACACGAATAGTCTATTATGTACCAAAGTTTGAATAAATTGTCTCACTATCCTGCCGTTTAAGAGGATTACGCGAAGAGGATTATTTGAAACGATTATTTAGAATGATTATACGAAAGTTTCGCAGCCACCCACGGTGGTTGTGCTTTCAGAAAGGTGGTGTGCATCATCCTGCTCGTCATTTACTCCCTTCTAGATTGTTTCATATCTTGATTTGCATTAATGTTGCGCGTGCTCGCGAATTAAGGAAATTACCCTTGCACGTGACCGTCATACATGATTCCGGTGTAATATCGTCAGAAGAAACGTGCCCGGGTAACGCGTCTGTACCAACAATAACCCTGCAATTAAAAGAGTAGACGATTTCGTTCAGCTTGTAACTCCAGATTGAGAGAGGAAAGACGAGTCATACGTGGAATATATTCATGTCGTTGCATATGATTTAACGTATCGCGTGTAGCGACGAACGGATGTAATGGGGTAAGAGATTTTTCGATGGAATGCTGTAATCGCGAGTGTCAAGTGAAAAGGAAGAATTTGCGAAATCTGAAACGATCTAACAGGTAAATTACTAGGTGTAAAATATCGTAGGAAAGCAAAGCGAAGATTTCGAAAACATTCTTTGAAGTTTCACTGGAACTTTAAAAGATAAAGAAAGGGACAGTAGAAACTCTAAAATATGAAATAATATTTATGAATTATTAATAAAAAAATTCTACAAAATTGCTCTAAGATCTCAAAAAGAAAATTAATCGAAGGAGGAACCAGAGTAATTCCTTTTATTTATGTAAATTTTTCCTAAAACATGCATCAATAAATTAAATATTTAATTCTACCATTACAACAACATATGTCGAATTTCTCGTTTTTCCAAGTTAAAAGGCCAAAGATAATTGCTAGGTATTATAAAATACCACAAGGTTGAGTTAACTATCGAAACAGAGATTGGTATATCTGATCACCTAACAGCGTGTATGCAATGAAATTAACTGACTCGTCGCGAATACATATACACCTTTGTTTCTTATTATCTCCGCAATGGTATCCTTGCAAGCAAGCGTTGGTATCAAGACTCTTTATCTTTGTGTATGTAGTTTGAATATCCTCCGGTGAATGGAACGCGAGGTTAAGAACATTTACTCGAAGCATAAACGAGTCTGACGTGCTGTACCTCAAGGCCTAAAGTTCTGCGCCTTAATTACACGTCACAATTACGATGGCGAAAAGAAAATCTAGGTTTACCGTGTTATAAATCAACTCGTCTCAACATCTTCCGCGGTATTCCGTAATTGTTTCAAGAAAAAGACGCGTTAATCCTAAAATTATCTTGCTCTTCCCGGAAAGGAAGTGCAACCTCAACCGCTGAACCATGTCAAAATTACGTGGATCTTCTTGGGAAATAATAATGTTCAGGTAGATCACGGAAAACGGCGATTATCCTTTATAACTATTTTCTTCCTCTCGGTCATATCTTCATCAAATATCTTCATCAAGTGCGCAGTACGAAAGGATAATATACGTGAGAACCATCCGATCGGTTCCAGCAAAAGGAACAGAACCGTTCACTATTCCTCGAGTGTTCTAATTATGAGAATTCCTGTGGAACGTTCCGTTGTAAGCGCGAACAAAGAAATACATACGCTTCTAGTTGGAAAAATGAGGTCAGATCGTGGCAAGAACGCGAATCTTAAGTTAATTCGAGTAGCTTCGGCAGAACTTGCGAAACCGGTAACCATTTCCTGTATGTATTTACGCATAAACTGATCTAAATCGGAAAAAAATTCGAAACTGAATTGTGACTGCAATTTGAGAATCTTGAATTCGTGAAACGATATTCTATTATACATATAAAAATTTGTCGACTTGTAAAAAATGCAGAGCGAATAAAATGATCATATTGACTATTAATTAGTTTAGCATGTGAACACTAAAACTACTAAACCCGTCAACACGATGGATTTTAAATATTTGCGTTCACATTTATTGCAAGCGTAGAATTGTTTTTAGCGAAATTAACTTTATTCATTATTTAAATAGGAATGTAATTATACTTGCATAATCTTCATTACTATTATTTAAGAATACTACACTTAAAGTACACGATACAGCTCGGTAAGTGTAGTATTAAAGCCATATTGTATACTTTACTGTGAAAAATGTAAAATTAACGAGAAGATCGTAATATCTTGATAATATTCGAATTTTCCATTTTATTTCGAAACGTGAAAACTGTACGAAACAGCTTTGTTCGATATGATTGCAACAGAAAGTAATTGTAATTCTGATTTTTAATTTGCGGCATCCTATACATATTTGCATTTCTGTAGTAAGATAAGAATAAAATATTCATAGGTAACAGAAAGTGAGTGCAGTCAGTAGTGTGCGAGTGAAAACCACAAGAGCGGAACCTATCCCGCTGCTGTGTAACATATCCGCACAAAACCACACACACACGCGCGGGCATAAAAGAAAATGAATTCTTCCTTTTGGAACTTTGCAACTCGAGTTATTTTAGCTCGGTTGGTAGTTTAATCGAAAGTCGAGGCAAAAATCGGCGCAGAAGGACAACTCGAACAAAATAAGAATCGAGAGTTTCGAGGTAACTGAACTTACGAGGTCGGATGGTGAACGGATATTCCATGCTCATCGCTTCCGCCTTCTATTTCGCCGCCTTTTTCCACAGCCAAAATAGGGTCCTTCGACTGGAAGGCCCCGTATGTACTGCCATTCCTGGAGAATAAACCAAAACTTATGAGCATTACGTATGAACATTATTTTTTATTCCTTTTTATTTGAAAAAATTACGAATATTATCACGCTAATAAAGTAAAAGAACTTTACATATTCTCAGGTAATTTAAAATAACCTTCCTCTCTATAATAAATATTAAGAATATCATAAATATCATAAATATAAATATCTACTTAATTGAGCAAACTCTGCAACCTTTTTTTAATTTTTATATTTCAATTTTTTTAATAATCGAGGACTTGATCTTTTGCGATTACCTATATGTATATATACTTTGGGTATATAATTAATATAACTTGCAATATTTTGTACGCTTAATTTTCTCCCATATAATTCCATTAAGAATTTCATATTTTTCAATAATAATATCAATTACAATAGTACCATTTTGAAAAGATTAATATTGACACTGAGAAGTATAAAGACTCTGCTTCGACTCAGAGTTCTGACGTAAACCGTGGAATTAAAGGCACAAGAATTTTTCCTAGATGTAACAGTTTTTCGCACGATATGTCGCAAACGTGATTGTGAAACGATTCTTCCATTCACAAGAATTCGTGGCTGGGGATTACACGCGAATTACGTAAACATCGACGCCAATAGAACCTCTAATTGCTGAATGTTTCTTTGTTAAAGAAACCCGAGATCGGCCGCAACAAGCGCAACTAGAATGCAGTGCCAGCGAGGCTGCTTCTGTATAAAGTTACGTGCAACTTTTCCCATGAACGTCAAACCAGTTGCACGTGAGATTTACAATTACCATAGCGCAACTTCTACGGTAGACTTGACGACGCTAGAGCTCGCCCAGCACGTTTTACTTTCACTCGAATTGTAATCGAAGTTGAATAATGAAGTTGCATCGTGGAAATTAAATATAATAATCGTTAATTGCAACAGAGTATGTGTATAAACACTACCGTTTAAAAGTTTAGCGTCGCTTTGAACGCTTATGATTTATGGAAAGGAAAAAAAATAAAGATTCATGTAATTATACTTGTCTTTAAAAATAAAATAGATCTTCTTTCGATCGTACTGTCATACTTGGGCTTTATATGTTCAAATAGTATTTAATTGCTTTTCTGGTGAATTTATATATTTCGAACTATTTCACGAATTACAGGATCTTCTTCTTTGAAATTCGAAGATAGTTTTATTAAAATCTAACAGAAGTAACTTTAAGTAAATGTAACAACTTGTTTTTATTTTATCATTTTTCAACACGTGTATAATAATTTATTACATATTTCATAGTTGAAACATCAGTTCGATAAGAAAGCTGATAAAAAGGAAAACATGCAATTAAAAATTGCTCGATGCAATTAGAAAACATCGTTAATCTTTTTAACGAGCTGCATCGCGTGCAATATATAAATCATAACGAATTGGATCAATGGAAAAGTGGCAGCCTTCATTCGGAAAGTCCTACGTATTTCGTTATGCACGATTTGACATTAACGTTCCAAGGCAAAGCCCCTCTAGATTAGTTTTCATTAGTCCAAACAAATACTTCAGACTTTCCTTCTTAGACAACGAGCTGTGGCACGAACAACGTCAAATTGACTACGCGTCATTTATAATTCTTCTTTAAGCAACGCAAATGTTTTTCTTTTCAAAGCTCGCGCAATTTACTAGCAGAGGTATTCTTTACAAATTACCATTAGGAATAAATCAACTTCAACGATTAAGACGTACATATGCGGCACGTACATAATTGTTTCTCGGATAACAGTGGAAATATTATAGTTAATACGTACTTAACCTTTAAAAAATCGGAAATGAGAAAAGGCGCAATTAAATAAATTCTTTCTTCGCTACTGAAAACATTTCTGCGTCGTAATAAACGAGAAATTTATAACAGAAAAAATTAACCGGTTTCTTCTTATTCATGAATAAATGAATACTCAAGAATACCCGGGGTGATAAATGAGCAATGTATGGCAAATGTTACGTGACGATTGCATGAAGATTCGATAGATACTTTAATGCTTCTTTACTATCTATTTGCAATCATCGTTGCGAAGAATAAATTGCGGAGAAGCGATAATCAATCAAGCATAGCAATTAAACGCTCATCATTTGTAGACGCTGCAACATTTGTAAATCTTCGGAACTAGCATGGGTCATGCAAGGAGATTTAAACAGATTAGAACGAAATGTCAAATCGCTGTACACCGTGTGCCAAAAAGGTAAACTCGCGGGTGAAAAGCGTGTCGAATACCATGAAGGTTTTACGGTTCGATGCTAGATCGAAGGAATATCGGTAGGTGCCAACGAGCTACGTCACTTTTGGCTGCGGGCTTGCCATTGAAAGAGGAACGTGTATCTAAGGCTTGCTGGTTTCGCAATTTGCCCGTTTAGTGCTAACCAGTCTATTCCACTGACTATTTTGGGTAACGTTGAACTGGATAAAACGCGATTCTCGTAAGAATTATTACGAACTGCCTATGCGACATTAGCAGTATATTAGAGGTAATGGAAAGATAATCTTAAAAGGATGAAATCTATGGTAACGATAGTAGAATTAGTAAAAATTTTTGATAGTGTATGAATGAAAATAAAAATTGATATCAGAGTATAATTTATAGTGATTAAAATGCAATCATATGGTACTATAAATGTCGCAAAAAGACGAATTATAAATAAAATTTCATTAATATTTATTGCAAAGGGAGCATTTATTCACCTGTGAGGTTCCTTTAGAGTCATCTCGTCACCACGCAAGGAACTCTTCTTCACAGAGGGGTTTTTGTGCATTTCCATCTGCAAACATAATTAAATCACTTTATTAACACCTCACAATGAAATAGATTATCCCACTTGCATTATTAAAGAACAAAGTACAAAATGAAGTAAATCATTCTATTATCCGAGAATATAATTAGAAATATTTTATTTATCGTATTAAAAAATTATAAAATGGTTATCAAATATTTTCATCGAATTATTATACGACCGCGATTCAGTATGCAGAGGTAATATGGTGCCAAGATACGTCAGCTATGTAGACTTAAAATTTGTTCAATTTTTGTTATCTCGCCTCGAAAAGAAACAAAATTTCGGAGATATATTTTTAGCGATGAAAATGTTATATAAAATGCAGTAACACATGTTCCCGATTTTATGTGACATTATGTAAACTCTGGCTTAACTAAAAACATTACAGCTCATACGAACAAGTACTCAAAAATGGCTGCCATTGAAGATACCTTCTACTCGACACACCTGAGCTTTTAAAAATGTGCCTGACTAAAAAACAATTACATTTTAAACGACAATCCTTATTTAAATTTTCGGCTAAATTAAATTTATTTTAGACTAATTTATCATTTGCCATAATTAGTTATCTTCTTACTGTCTCAAGATAATTCCTAAAATAAAGGGGGGAAGTAAAAAAGCCAGAGATATCTTACAATCGTTTGATGATATTTTAAAAAGCAGTTATATTGTCCTTGGAATCACTAATCATCTCCAACAGAACTTTTTCAGCGGAATTTATCATTTTTTTGTTCCATTGAAATTCCACATTCGGGAGACAAAGAGACAATCAACCAATTAAGCTCTGAACCAACGACGTAATCGCCGCTTTTCTTCGACGAACAACCGATCGAGCTGAGGTCGCGCAAAGTTCAATGGAAGATACTGATCAAACGATACAGTTTCCCACGGAAACGTGACTGAACATCTGTCCATCGGCTTCCTTCGGTTTTCTCCGGTACTATTCCGCTCCGTTAACAAGCCGCCTTTACAAACAAGCGACATGCAATCGGCGGATAACGTAACATCGATTTTTACCCTTTGTTCAACTGCAACTCGTAATAGTCGAGGATCCCTCTCGTGAACACGTGGAAACATCGAGTATGACAATTTAATCTATATTCCGTATCGTTTGGTAAATAATTATGAAGGCGAATATCGATATGATTAATGGTTATGGAAATAAAAAAAGGGGATGGACTCTATCTTCGTACAAGTACAATTCTAACCTTATGTGAACTAAACTTTCTGATTTAAATAACGAATATGAAAGTAGCTATAAAAATGTAATTTTAGTATATTTAAAAGACAATCTCGTATTTTTTGAAAAAACTTCTATATCTATAACCTTTAAATTCTTTAACGAAGATAGTAATAGATAAGGAGATCTATTATCTTAATTGAAATTCTTTAATTTATCTGAATTTAAACTTTTTATCTTAATTGAAATATGAAATCGCTAATCTTCAATTGCCAAATTCAACCTAGCATAGTAAACAAATTACGAAATGTTACGCACTTAATATTTGAAAATAAAGACGAAATTTATAAGGGTTTTAGAATGATATTTAATTGCAGAAATGTCGTATAATATTCAATTGCGAAAATTTCGCTATGAAACGAAATATGCCAATCGAGAGACCCCTGGAAAACGCGTGTCACTGATTGATTTCGTAAGTAATAATTGTGCGTGTTCGCGGGTAAATTGAACTTCGCGGTCGAAGGGTGAAACATCAGATCGCGAGAAGTCGCTAGGGCGCACGCGTGATACGTTACGCCACGTGCACGCCAGTTGGCCAATAACAAACTGATTTATCCGTTGATTCTCGCTGTTTCACGTGAAGGAATTCGTGACTCCGTTGACGTGTTAACGCTCGATAAATGATTGACTTTTTCTTTTATGATGGTGTACAGTGACTTGATACGACAACGATCAATGCTCAGTGCAATTTATGAGTCTGGCGATGAGGTCAATTCGCTGGCGAAGTTTTAATGGCTACGTGTCAAGAATGGATAAAACGTGCAACGAAAAAATGAGTAAGAGGACACAAAAAATGAAGAGCGCGACAAGAAGCTGTGCGTAAGTACATGAATAGTTTATATATTTTTAGATAAAATAGGAACAAGAAAAAGCTGTAGGGTTCTAGAAAAGGATTAAATTTAATAAAAAGGAACAGAAAATAGATACCGTAGTAAAAAATTTTTAGGGCAAAATTGCAATAAAGATTAGTAGCGAATTATAAAAAGTAATTTAGTTAGTTCTTATTAAACGTGTGACTGATAAATTCACGAGGAGAAAAAAGATACTTCCATCATAAAAATGAGCTGTGATAAAAAGCTTATTTATGAATATTCTTTATGTATAATTGTAAAATCTGAAATGAATGACTTTTTAAGGTAAATTGCACAGAATTCTCTTTATTTAAGTTATTAATTGACTAATTAATCGTCGTTTATAACACTTCTGTAAATTACGATTTTATCCAAATATATTTCCATTAATAATTTCATTTATGCCACGTCATTCTGTTGTTTATAAATATTATCATTTTTTATCAAGTCGAGTTCTTCTTGTTTGTTTTAAAAATTGTAAATATTCCATCATTTTCATACTGATATATTTGATAGCATATCTGGCTTGTTTGGTAATAACAGTTTTTCTTAACGACACTGAATGTGCGCAAAGCAACATACAACAACGAAATAACATGTCATTTTACTTTATGCAACTACTTACCTTCAATAAGAAAAATTGCTTTATCGCTGCATTTGCTAATAATTTAAGATGCTCCATTCGCTTGCAAATTTTCAAGAAATTAGGAAAAGTTGCAGAAAGAAACGGAAAAAAAACACTAAACTTTTATCTTTACTATATCTAAGAAAACTTATGATTATTCAAACTTGGAACTCAACTGCTGAAAATACTGGAAAAGCCTCTAATATCCCACCAAATATTAGAGGAAATTTCTTACAATTACTTACAATTTCTGGAAAATTTCTAGTTATTACCAAAATATCCATTACTATCTAATACCAAAACTCCACCTTGCCAAAATTCCCCAAATTCCCTAATACTCTGATAATCTTATTGAAATATCACCCAGAGTTACAACTCAAACGCTAAAATTTCGAAGGTAAATACAATTTTTTTTTTTGTTCTTTGCACTGTTCCAATGAAATTATTGAAAACTAATCATTCCTTTTTTTCTACACGGAATAAGGGAGATTAATATCACTTCGAAGAGATACAAAGGAACTGAGGAAAATGATCATGGCAAAAATGATTTACAGGGATCAAGACAACAAAGGGAAAGATAAAAGGGGCAGGACGATTACGAAAGATTGCAAGAAGAAAGGTTTAAATGTCCGCGAAACATTAACATGCAATTAAGACTCTCTCTGTCAGAAGGCTTCGATGATTGATTCGTAATCATCCCTAGTGTTAATAACACAATCGAGAAGTTGACGGGTGTTATCTTCCCAACCGTGCATAATTCTCCATTAACCGGTTCTTCGCTGATTTCACACTGGAAAACTTTCAACAAGATAGCTTTATTAGCATATTAAGATAGACGATCCTCTGCCCTGACGTAACTAGTAAATAGATAACTGTGCAGTCTCCTTTTTCTCTCGAATTGCACAAAATGCTTATCCATCACTAATCACCATGTTACGACACGATGCTATTCAATCGGTCTCCAACATTCTGAGTAGCCAAATTTTATTATCTCAGACTGCATATAAATTGCTTAGCCAATCTCTTATTAACGCTACAATCACTGACCTGTAACGCGTAACTGAATAAACTACACAAAAACGATGCTAATTGGAATGAAATAATGAAGATATAATTACATTTCTACAAATAAAAATCAACGTTAATTTTTGCCAGAAGCAGCAACACATTTGCAGTAATTGCAAGAATAAAATATTCGAAATTAGGCGTTTTAACTCACTAGGGAGTTCTAGTGTTAAAAGACATCGTCTATTCAAACGCAGTAGTTATAGATGCAAGAAAAGCGAATTAAACAAATGCCGACTAAACGAAGTACTATTAGGCAGTTTAGATTTTCAGTTGAGAAAATAAAAGACACAAAATGAGGTATTTAAATGTTCTTGGAAACGAGTCAGTAATTTATTTTTTGTAGTTTTGTCGTCGACATTCAGGAATGAAGTATTGTGTCATTTGGAGTTACATAACTGTTTAGATTTGAATTGTTTTGAGAGACAATTCATGTGTTTTAAGATTCTGAGTACAGATAAGATTCCGAAGTACTGTATTTTTTGGAAAACTACTTTGTATCAAGTATGTTATATGCATAACTGAAAGGATTAGAAAATTGCCTTGAGATTTTATTGCGCGAATGGTACCTGATGTCATGGACATTTGAACAAGGTAATAAAAAGTATGTAATTTACCTCTCTATGAAATTTATGACAAAAAGCAACCACTCCCACGCGGCCATCTATTCCTCTGTTGAAACCCAGCAATTTTCGACTCTGGAAGAGCAAGAGGAAATGGCTCTTTACACGGAAAATGTAACAAACGAGGTGTTCGAAGACCATTAATCGTTTCCTTGTGCAAGGTCGAGAATTTCGTAACGAGGAAGCGCTCAATTAGACCAGGTGGCATTCAGACGAGTGAAAAAGGGCCATCAGTTTAGGTGTCAAACTAATTCGACAGTAATTACGACCTACGCTCGCGTACTTTAACAGGCTAAACGCTTTGAATAAAATAATCTTTTTCACAGACATGGTCATTTCGAATATTTCACATATACAAGCACTATGAACCGATACTTAAAGGGATTAGAAGATCGGAGATAGAACGTATCTTAATGCACGGATACTTCAAAATTCTGAAGCAATATCTATATAGAAGAAAAATAACTCGATTTAATAACCATAGTTTTGACTTACTAAGATCGAAACCCAAATCTTAATTACATATCGCCTTATCTGTCGATCGGATTAGTTTGATTGCACTGCACTTCTCGAAGAACAGT